TACTATACGTATATAATACTGTTGTTTGCTAACAATGAGTCAAGTTGGGGATAGCTTGGTCTCAGAATATGGTTTCTTTGTTTGTTTCATGTGTAGGTGGCTCGATGCCTCGGGTGAGTATTTGCGGTGATGGACCGGGAGTTGGCTTGGTGGTAAGACGGTGTCCATGGTGGTCAGATATTATGCGGGATACTAATGCTAGAGTTGATGCACGTGGTTGATGGAGATTCCATATGGCATACGATGGAGGTATTGTGTGCGTATGGGATGCGGAGTCGAATTTAGAAGGAGTCCAAATTTGGTACGATTGGTTATGTAAAGTTTCTTTCTTGTACTAGAGGGTTTCCTAAGGTGTTTAGGACTCTTAGTATGAGTTTGGTTCGTGGCTTTACGCTGCCTACTTCATGTATAAGGGAGCGTGAGGCTTCTCGGTATCGCTTTTGAGAGCAATTGAGTTGCTAGTTTAGTTAGGGTTTCGAGTTTAGTCGAAATTTTTGGTAAGGAGTGCTGTTGGTGCACTTTGTAAACACAGAGAGAAGCAATAAAGTTGTCATCTACTTTGAGAGTTTTTCGATTTGTGTTTCATCTGGTTTCGGTGGTCTAACCGGCGATATACCGGCGGTCAGACCGGCGGAAGGCGGCGGTCAGACCGACGGAGGAGAGGCGGTCAGACCGGCTGCGACTTCACACGCGGCAGGCAATCTTCAGGCGGTTGGACCGAGTGATCAACACCGGTCAGACCGGTGGCACGAGCGCGGTCAGACCGGCGGATCAACCTCGGTCAGTCCGATTACATCGAATTTGAGGGTAACTTTTATTTTCACTAAAAGTTTTAGTTTTTGGGTATATCAACCATTCACCCTCCTCTGGTTGGCTTAGTTCTTGTGATTCGATCCTACAATGACGATGAAGGAACTTCACCGATTGTTCTTCGGCCCTTAATGATTTATGATGATGTCAACTCCGACGAGGAGCTACTGACCTGACAAGCCAACTGTGATGAAAAGCTGGTGATGATGTTGCTTATGATGACATGATGATAATGAAGACCAACTCCGACAGAGAGTTGGGGAAGTTGGAGATGACCAGCTCCGACATGGAGTTGATGATGAACCGATGATTAAGGCTAGCTCCAATGTGGAACTAGTGATAAGCGAGATAGACTGGCAAGACATAGAAATGGACTTCAGTGGACTTGATGTAGTAAACACAGAAAATTGATTTGTGGATTTCAAATTAAGGCAGTGATCTTATAATGAACAAAATACTAGCACACATGTTGATGGCAGTAGGAACAACCACAAGAAACTACTGTTATGGATAGACTAACAAAAGATAGAAGTAAATTGTAGAGATACATTGACCAGGAAAACAACCAAATTAATTAGGAGGTAGTGGCAGTAGCAAGCATGAAAATTAATATGATTTTTACACTTCTAGAAAAAGTATTTTCACAGGCGGACAAAAGTGATTTTTGCAAACGGAGGGTTGGACCGCTTATAGCACAACGACGGTGAAAATCAACGATTTTCGCAGTCGGGGCAACAGCCCGGCTGTGAAAATCCACGAAACGAACAAAAAAAAATCACGGCGGCGGCTCGCCGACGCCGCCACGCGCCTCGCCTGCGTCGCCCTCCTTTGGACGGATTTGGGAGGGGAGGGGAGCGCGCCCCGTGCCGTTAGTCGCGGCGTCTACCCGTGCCGTAGTCGTCGCCGCCGTGCTCCCCCCTCCCTCCTCTGGCCGCATCTGCGAGGGGGGGAGGGGAGCGCGCGCGGCTCGTGCGCGTCGTCCGCGCTACCCCGACCCGTCGTTGTCGCACTGCCGCTGCCCCGCACCGTATTCGCCGCCGGTGGCATCCCCCCTCCCTCCTCTAGCCAGATCTGGGAGGGGGTGGGGAGGGGAGCTGCCACCGCCGCCACCCCGGACGCCGCGCCGCTGCCGGACGCCGCTGCCGCGCTCGCCGGCCTCCCCCCTCGTTCCTCCGCCAGATCTGGGAGGGGAGCCGCGCCGCCAGCCGTACGCTGCGCCGTCAGCCGGACGCCGCGCCTTCGCGCCGCTTCCAAGCCACCCCGCGCTGTAGCCGCCGTCGCTCCCCCTCCGGCGGCCGGGGAGAGGAGGAGAGGTGAGAGGAGGGGAGAGGAGAGGCGTGAGGGGATGGGAGGGGAGAGGCCGTGAGGTATGGGGAGGGGAGAGGCCGGCCGTGGGTGAGGAGGGGAGGGTGAGGTGTGGAGACTTAGAAAAAATCAACCCCTACCCAAGTCTATTTATTTTTAAGTCTATTTTCGCATACGGACCACTAAAGCGGTGCTTGCGATTTTCGCAGGCGCCGCTTAAGTGGTCCGCTTGCGAAAATAGATTTTCGCAGCCGGACCGACCATTTCACTCCGATTTATATTTTTTTAGGCGGTCATTTGTCTTTAAGACTCATGTCCGTCTGTGAAAATGAGACCCCTACATCGGAAAAAATGCTTTTTCTAGTAGTGTTAGTTGTACTAGTATAGCAAGCAGAGAATGACATGATCAGTGACCACTAAGCCATGCGTGCAATTCGAAATAGAAGCACAGCAAACTGAGCAAGGCTAGAGCGGATCAACAACCTCACGGAGCCCAGAACAATAGCGGCGTAGGGACGGAGGACGAGGTTGACCGGATATGACTGTTCCTGCTGCTCGTGCCTGGCTTCTTGCTTGACCGGATTGAAGGCTATGCTATTTCTTGGCTGCTTGGGTGTTTGCTTGAATTGACAACGATGCTTGCTGCTGCTAGCTGCTGATTGGCGAGGCCGCGAAGATAGATGACGACCGCGGCACACGGGCGGCAACAAAAGAGAGTGCTAGTTACTAGTTACTGCATCTACCAAATTTCTGTAATTAACTGAGTAGGAAGAGTTGGAACAGATAATATCTGATATTGAACTAACTGAGGAGACAGATGCTATCCTTTGGGCCTTTGGCCTCTGGCTTAATCTAACTGCTTTTTCAACAAATTCGCTCTATAGATTGCTCATATCCCTCTGAAGGTGAAACATTTTCACTGGCTTGCCTGTATGGATAGGATCGAATCTACATCTCAACTGGTAAAGAAAAACTGGGAGAGATCTGAACTTCGTGTGCTGTGTAATGACTTAGAAGATGCTGATCATCTCATCTTCAGATGCCTTTTAGCAAAGTTCTTTTGGTGTGTACTTAGAGATGCTTCGATTTCACAATCAATTCCTAGTTCTTGTGAACACTTCTTCTATGATGTAGTAGGCCATCCTAGTTATAAACAGAGCAGAGGAGTGATGATGCTGCTCGGGGCTGCTGCTTGGGCCTAGTGGCTAAACAGAAATGTTTTGATTTTCAGGAAGAAAATTTTAACCACCCCCCTGACTATTGTTTTCCGTGTAACGTTTTATCTGAGGCAATGGTCTAAATTGATGAAGTAAAATGAAGAAGCGGAGGCTAAGGCGATCACAGCGAAGATTTTGTTAGCTGTTCAACTTTTGTCTGCAAATTGAACTGGAGTCGGCTAAAATCTTGAATATCGTCCTCTGTTCAGCAGTTGTAGATGTTTTCTTTCCTGTAGCTAGTTCAGACGGTTTGTTTGGCCAAAATGTTGGCTGGATTGCTCGTCTTCTTTAAAGCTGGTCTCCCCAGTGTAATTTGAGCTGTGTAAACTCTCAAGCTTTCTATAAAAGCTAGGCCACTCAGGCCTTTTATGCAGAAAAAAAACAGGCGACAACAAAGAAGTGTCAGCCATGAGCAGCAGGCGCGCTATGACGACTTGATGAGAATCATGAGATGGAAGATGGCTCCGCCGGCGGCCAGCCGTGGCCGCCACTGTCGCACCGGCTATGTCAGGGCTTAGCTAGGGTTAGGATCAATGCTCTCATACCATGTCACTATTTGAAGGAATCGGGAAGCGAAACGTTAGATTGGATTTGACATAAAAGGCAATATAAATTGTGTACAATATATGTGAAGTTACGACTCTATCTTTGGGAGTGCATCCTATACACACAGACCCTCGCGTGTACACACCGTGTACACCAACTAAAAATTATAAAAAAAATAAAAAATTCATACATATACTTCTAATAATATTATATTTACGTGCAAAGTCGCATCTTCAAATTTATTCTACATAGAGAGTAAAAAAAAGGATAAATTCTGGTAGAATTACAACCTTAAAACTGTCAGATTTTTTGTTTTTTTTTGTTACGGTCAAAATATAATGAATTTGAGGTTAAGATTTTGTCCATAAGTGTAATACTATGAAAGTAAATGTATGATTTTTTTTAGATTTTTTGTGTCAATTGTTAGTTGGTGTGCACGTGTATATACGTGAGAGCTTGTGTGCATAGGATATTGCCTGTAGACACACACTTATACTTAACAATAATTATTAGGTCGTATTTCTAGAGAAACATAATAGTAACAGAGGGAGTAGTATGGAGTTATTGCCACGAGTTTTGCCATGATCTCCTTGGATGTTCGGCTTTAAAAGAGAACACTAAAACACACAACTCCCTGCCCAACTACATAGTAAATTATTGAAATTTAAAGAATGTACCTCCGGTCAAAAGTACATGTGAGCCCAACTACACAGTACATTATTATGTACCTCGGGTCAAAATGCACGAGTAAATTAAGGTTCGTTAAGGAGTATTAAAAAATTGAAAAAAAATCAGCAAAATAGATTAGTATGTGATAAATCACTTCACAAACACGTAAATTCAAATTTAACTTCTGTAAGTAAAAAAAAATTGACTGTGAATATACATTAATTAGCTATAGTTTAATTTTTTTTGTAACTTATATAATTTTAACTTACATGTTTATGTACTGATCTATCACATGTCAATCTATCTTGTTGAATTTGTTTTTTCAAACTTGCTAATAAATAATTGAATGACAAGCAAACTACGGTGCGTCTCGAACGTTTAGAATCCCCTGCCGTAAAGGAGATCGATCCCAATGTAAAAGGTTTGATTCCACAAGTATATAAAAGAGAACAATGAAAGATAACAAGTCGCTAACAAACTATGTATTGAATTATAAACATTTCCAAAATTGTACCTCCGGTCAAAAAATAGTACATGACACCTCGCAGCAGAATAGTCCACAAACCAACCTTGAAACCAAGAAAACAAAACAGCCACACCAGATTAAATATTCAGTAATTAAGGAGGAAATTTAAAGAATAATAATTCAGCCACAAAACCAATATTTTGGAAAAAACTTGTGTTTGCTGATTACAAATTAAGTTTCAGGTTAATTAACCAAGTTTTGTTTCAGTGGAACTCTTCGTCAGGCAACGTGCCGGCCTTGGCGCCGACGTTGAAGAACTCGATGATGACCTCGAGCGGGAGGCCCTTGGTCTCGGGCACCTTGAGCGCCACGAACACGAGCGCGACGCAGCACACGGCGGCGTAGAAGGAGAACACGCCGGCGAGCCCCACGGAGCTGAGCATGACGGGGAGGCTGTACGTGACGGCGATGTCGCCGAGCCAGAACGTCAGCGAGCAGATGGCAATGCAGAGTCCCCTCACCCTCGTCGGGAAGATCTCGGCGCAGAGGATGTTGGGGATGGGGCCGAACCCCATGACGAAGCAGCAGAAGTAGACGATGACGCTCCCCGTCGACAGCGCCGCGTGCGCGGTCGCCGCCATGGGCACGACGTTCGCCACCACGAGCACGGCGAGGGACGCGACGAGGACGGGCAGCGTCCAGAGGAGGAGGGCGCGGCGGCCCGAGGCGTCCATGAGGCGCATGGCGACGCCGATGGACGGGAGCATGAGGAGCGTGGTGAGGCCGCTGATGAGGATGGAGGTGGAGTCGCCGGAGAGGCCGAGGCTGGCGAGGAGGACGCTGACGCCGGCCTGGTCGAGGATCTGCGGGGTGTAGTAGAGCACGCCGTTGATGCCGGAGAATTGCTGGAGGATCTGGATGGTGACGCCGCAGAAGAGGGCGTGGCGGACGCCCGGCTCGAGCAGCTCGCGCCACGCCGGGCCCGTCGACGCCGCCGCCGCCACCGCCTCCGGCGGGTTCGCGAACGCCGGCTCGGTGGGGCTCTGCCCGATCAGGACGTCCTTGGTGTACAGCATCGACCGGCTCACCAGCGCCGCCGCGTGGACGTACGCCGTGGACTGCGCGTCGCCGGCGGCGCCCGAGTCACCGCCGGGCGCGGCCTCGGACTCCTCGTGCAGGTACATGCGCTTCACCGCGCCGCGCTTGACGCCGTCGGGGCCCACGTTCTCCGTCCACTTCCACGCCAGCTGCCACCCGCCGCCGATGCCCATGGTGCTCGCCGTCTCGACGCCGCCGCCGCCGCCGATGCTGCTGTGCCGCTGCATCGCCACCTGGCCGGAGGCGGGCTCGTTCTTGGTCTCCACGTCGGTGCTCTGCCGCGACAGCAGCGGTGCCTGCAGGCCGCCGCCGTCGTCGTCGTCCTTGCCGTCGTCGGAGAGGTACTCCTCCTCCTCCTCGTCGAGGTCGTCGTCGCCAGGCTGCACGTTCTCCTCGTCCCAGCTGCTGCCGCCGGGCCTATCGTTGACGCTAAGCATGCTCCCGAGGTTGGGGAACAGCGTGCTCCCCCTCATGCTGCCGGTGGCGCCGCCGCCGGACTCCGGCAGCCGCTCGTGGACGCTCCCGAGAAGCGCCACCACGGGGTCCTTCATCTGCTCGTACATGCTGCCATGGCGCGACGCCTGCAGCCCCAGCGAGCTCCCCAGCATGCTGCCGCGGCCGCCGGCGACCGGCTGCGCCACCCACGAAAGCCCCTGCTCCGGCCCGTACAGCGTGACGGTGTCCCTCGCCTGCTCGTTCTCGCCGGCGTCGCCCTCGGACGGGCCGACGACGTAGTCCTCGATCTCGGTGTCGCCGCCGGTGCCGAGGCCCTCGACGAGCAGCGCCATCTCGCCGGAGACGTCCTCGCGGCCGCGCAGCATCTCGAGCACAACCCTGGCCTCCTTCATGCGCCCCTTGCTGACGAGCCACCGCGGCGACTCCGGGAGGTAGAAGACGGTGACGAACAGGTAGAGCAGCGAGGGGACGAAGAGGACGCCGAGCATGATGCGCCAGTTGGGCGAGGGCGAGAGCGTCATGGCGAAGATCATGCAGTAGGACATGAACATGCCGCCGGAGCCGGTGAACTGCGGCAGCGTGTTGAGGCGGCCGCGGATCTCCGGCGGGGAGGTCTCGGAGATGTAGACGGGGACGAGGGTGACGGCGAGGCCGACGCCGAAGCCGTCGACGAGGCGGGCGAGGAGGAGGACGTAGACGTTGGGGGACCAGAGCATGATGAGGCCGCCGGCGAAGTAGAGGAGGGAGGAGGCGATGAGCATGGGGCGGCGGCCGACGAGGTCGGAGACGGGGCCGGAGAAGGTGGTGATGATGGTGGCGCCGATGAGGGACATGGCGACGACGAGGCCCTCCACGGCGGGCTGGGTCTCGAGGGCGAACTCCCGCTTGATGTACAGCACGGCGCCGGCGATGGTGGCGTTGTCCCATCCCTGCAGGTAGTTGCCGATGGCGGCCGCCACGGCCACCAACACGGCGCCTCTCATCGTACGTGGCGATCGATCGATCTCGGATCGGTTTCTCAGAGAAACCACATGAAAAAGCGCGAGAGGGATTGGATGATTTTGTGCAACCAACAGGGCGGGTGTTTGGGTTTCATGCACCCGTGTGCGTCGCACGCGAGGCTAACAATAGCGCCTAGTGTTGCTAGCTAGGGCCATCCGCGCCGCGTCGAACGGGGGATCACAACAATGCGCAAGGGAAACATGCATGCTTGCATCTACGGTTTTGACGAATTCCACCGGTCTCCACGTACGCCTACCGACGCAGATGTTATATGCACGGTATACTATGTAAAAGAGAAAATCCCTTGTATATCTCTGAAAATCCCTTGTGTCCCTTGTATACCTAGCTACTACCAATGTTTACAATATTTCTTTTTATGAATGTTCCCGATCGAAAAAATCCATTGTCCTATTAAAATTTCAAATAAAAATTTTAATTTATTACATTTATTTTATTTCCAAAATTTATGACAAAATTTTCTACACCAATTATTTAGTCTCATTAGTTTTATAAAATGCACACACTGTGCACTCAAACAAAATTTTTAATTGTTTTTAAGCTTATATTTAAACCTAAATAAGCATAAAGGATAAAAAAATACATTTGCAACCAAACGTAACAGTGAAATTATGGAAAATATGACGGTAAGAGCATGGATGGGATCAAGTTGAAATTTCAGGGGTATAGAAGGGGTCGGGTAAATTTCAGAGGTACGAAAGGGATTGAGTGAGTTTTCAAGGGTACACGGGGAATTTACTCTATGCAAAACTAGAAGGGAAGTTATTTTTATCCCTCGAGGGATGCCCCCTAGTTGTTTTTATGTCACTCAAATAGTTACGAAAAAAATTGAAAAAATTGAGAACATGTATTAACATGTGATATAACACTCCACAAACATGTATGTTCAAATTCAACTTCTACATCTCATAATAAAAAAAACAAATTAAACCGCAGCTAGCTATCGTATATTCACAATCAAATTTGTTTTTTTCGTTGTATGCACTAGTATAGATCCTCTCATCTGTGACGGCCCGTCACATGCCTGCATTTTCCGGGCTGTCACAACAAAGTGATCTCAAACAGGCTCAAAAAGAGGCCGACAAAGATATACTCACACAGACATGTTAGATGCGCATAAAACTCTAGCCCATCACGTATGGCACCTATTGGTGATAGGGTTTAGTTTAGGACCGATTGAGATAACCGGTGAAATCTTTGCCGGGCCCTAATAGAAGCCCATCACCGTTGGTCCATCATCAATGGCGGGCTCCAACTTGAGGCCCGATTGAGATAACTGTTAGGCCCGTCACCGATAACTCAGGCCCAACAAAGATAACTAAAATACCTGTCACTGTTGTAAGTTTTTTTGGCCGTTACAGATATTTATTGCACAGTATAAATACCCCAACTACCTAGTTTAATGGTTATCTCACTGTTCACTGTTTTGGTGGGAGTGTGAGCACGACGATTTTTGTCTCTTTTTTCCAAGAAAATCATAAATTGCAAAAGTAATTGAAAAATAGTGGTCAATTCTCATAAATTTAGTAAATACTTACCTGCAAAATATATATCTAATATTTTTCCACCTTTTGGCAGCTCAGGGATCGATGGATCGAAGTTGGATGTATAGGAAAACTGTGCGACGTCATACCAAGGAGTATAGAGATGGTGTATTGAATTTTATTAATGCCGTGGAGGAGGATAGGAAAAGAACAACGATTACATGTGTTGTCCATGCGTAGATTGCAAAAATTTGAATATGTTAGATAGCAGAGTGGACGTATACGCTCATCTGATAAAAAAAGGTTTCCTGAAGGGCTACACATGTTGGCTGAAGCATGGCGAGCACACTACTAGAAAAATGATTTTTCATGGTCGTATCCTATTATTTTCACTGGCAGTCATATGAGAAATCCGCTTGTGAAATTCAAACGAGAGATAGAGGGTTTAGAACCACAATTGAAAATCCATTTTTGCTGGCGGTGAGTTTAGGACCGCAAGTGAAAATCCATTTTTGCTGGCGGTTGGTTAAGAGGTCCATTAGCAAAAATAAGCCTATTTTCACTAGCGGCCTCTTAACATAACGTCAGCAAAAACGGATTTTCGCTGGTGGTCCTAAAGAGCGCCACCCTTGAAAAAAAATCACGCGTGCTTTAAAATATCACAGCCCATTAAAAAATCGCCACCCACCACTCCTTATCAACCTACCCATCCTTATCCTCTCATTCCTCCTCCTCCCTCCTCCCTCCTCCCTCCAGATCCACCAGATCCAACAAATAGCACCCTCTCCTCCTCCCTCCCTCGGTGGCGGCTCTAACGGTGGTTCTGGTCCTCGGGTGGCGGCGCGCGGCGGCTCCAGCAGCTGTGTGTGGCGGCGATGGCGACGGAAGGAGAGTGCGCAGCGGCGACAATAGCAATGCATGCGGCGGTGATGGCGACGAAAGGCGAGCATCGGTTCTCGGGCGGTGACGCGCAGTCCCTTTGCCTCCCTCCTCTTGCCGCCTCTTTCCCTCCTCCCTTCTCTCTCCACCGCCACCAGCCTCCCTTCCCTCTCCACCGCTGTGTGGGGGAAGAGGGCAGTGGCACGGGGAAGGAGGTGTGGCAGCGGCGTGGCGTATGGCGCGGCGGAGGTTCTTGACAGCAAGCGGGCGGCGCCGGAGCTGAGGACAGGCAACTACGACGACGACAACCACGAACGCGGCGGCGACGACGACGACAACGACGCTACCGGCCGGGAGCGTGGATCCGCCATCGACTATCCTCAGGAGCATGGCTCTGGCGGCGGAGAGGCTCCCAGGCGGTGGATCTAAGGTGGCCGGGCTCGGCGACCTTGACCACGCACGGTTACTCCCCAACCTCTATCTCTTCTGGATCTGGCTTGGGGCCGAGGGGAGGAGACCGGCGGCGGCGGCAACAGCTGCTCCTCCAGTCCCAAATCTGGCAGCGGCTTCTTTATGCATTTGATTTGAATTTGGGGAGCGCTTGGGAACTACGGTTGCTAGATGTGGATTTTTCTCAATGCACTATCTTCCCATTCTATTGCAGATTTATTTGATGTAGATGATTTATGTATTACGTAATAGAGATGATGTAGATGCTTTGATTTGTATGTCATGTTTGATCAGTGGAAATAAGCAGCAAAGGAAATGCTTTGATTTGTATGTCATGTTTGAATGTTTGATTTGTGGAAATAAGCAGGAAAGGAAATATGCGCGTCGGTATTTTTATTTTATTTTTATTTTTTGCCAAAATCCATCATCACTTGAGGTCGTCTTAACCGGCCACCAGTGAAAATCTTCTTTTTGCTGATGGCTGCCTTAATCTAACCACCAGCAAAAATGGATCTTTGCTAGCGGCTGGCTTAAGATGACCGCCAGTGAAGATCAGATCTTCACTGGCCATTGCTTTGTGGCGGCTCTAAATTCCACCAACGAAAACCTAAAATGGTGCACAAAATGAAGAATGTGAAGATCATGAGCACGAATCAGGAAGTGGTGCACATGAAGATGACCATGACAAGTTTGTACCTTCTTCATTGGGCGTTGAAATGGTTGATGTGGATCACGATCTATTGCAAGACATGTTACGTGACATTGAGGACCCAGCTTACAAAGAGAGATTCCTGAAGTTCAGCAGGTTGGTCAGTGACTCAGAAATGCCTTTGTACGCAGATGCAAAGCAAAACACACTAAGTTGTCAGCAACCTTGGACCTAATGAAGCCGAAGGAAAGTAGTCGATTGACAGACGAGTTTCACAGACTTTTTTAGGAATTTTTATGGTTTTACTTCCTGATGAGAACACATTGCCCGAGACGACATGTGAAACAAAGCATGTTTTGTGTCCCCTGGGGTTAGAAGTCCGTAGAATTAACGCTTGTCCGAATGACTACATATTGTACCACAACCAAATGCCGACTTAGATGCTTGCCCTGTCTGAGGGCCTTCTCGATACAAGCGAAAGAATAGTGCTGACAAAGGAAAGAAGTTAAAGCGGGGTGGTCTGACAAAGGTTGTGTGGTACCTTCATATCATTGATCGTTTTCAATAGAATCTTTGCCAACCCTAAGGAAGCGAAGTTTGTACGTTGGCATGCCACAGACAGAAGGAACGACGATATGCTTAGACACATAGTAGATTCGATTCAATAGAGGAATATCGATCGAAGACACGAAGACTTTGCTGCTGACCCAAGAAACATGAGGATATGTCTGTGTACGGATGGCATGAATTCTTTTGGAGACATGACTAGTACTCATAGCACTTGGCCATTTGTTATTGCAAAATTTAACCTATCACCATGGTTGTGCTTCAAAAGGAAGGCCGATCTTATCTCTTCACGAAGGAAGGTTGTCAGGTGTTGGCACAATAAGCAAGAAAAGAATTGTTCCCGATCAAGCCTCCTATGTGCAGGCTCATTTCGCTGTGCTCCAACATACGGCGCCTCTCATCGGCGATCTCTCGTACGTGACGATCGATCAATCGATCTCAGTTTCTCAAAGAAACCACATGAATAAGAGAACGTGAGGCTGGCTAACAATAGGGCCTGTGTTGCTAGCTAGCGCCATCCACGCTGCATCGAACGGGGGACCACAACAACGCGCGCGAGAAACACGCATGCATGCATGCATCCACGGTTTTGACGAATTCCACTAGATTGACTCCACGTATGCCTACTGACGCGACAATCAATCATTTTGATGAATACCTAGGCAGCTACTATACATGCAAAACTAAACGTAACAAACAAATTAACCGCATCTGAGGAGACCGGATATTCGGAAGAAATATATCGATTGGTAGCCGGCCGCCGCGCACCCAACAACGAATTGCGGTTCATCACTTCATTCATCCAATCATATGATAAAATATGACCCATTTGGCCAACTTTATTGGGCCGCCTCAACAACCGAGGGAAGCCGTGGAGTGAGCTGTTACTTAATTATTCTGAGACTATAGATGGTCAAATTGGTCGCCTGGCATGGTCCAACCCATGCACGACCAAGGCACGGCCTTAGATTGGTCGGGGTAGCATAGCATAATCGACATGCCGAGTCGTACCTGTGTTGCTAGCTAAGGCCATCGATGTT